TTGCCCTGCTTTGTTTTGAACTCCAAGACCACACTTACCTGTTGTTCCGTTTCTCTCTTGACTCCGTACTTTGGCATTCCAATCCCCTATAATAAGAAGAACATCTTTCTTTAGTGTCAGTTCTAGAAGGTGTTGTTTAGAATTGGTCAATTTCAGTCTCCTCAGCATTGGTAGTTGGTGCATAAACTTGGATTACTGAGATGTTGAAAGGTCTGCCTTGGATTTGTATTGAAATCATTCTATCATTTTTGAGATTGTATCCTGTTACAGCTTTTCCCAGTCTTTTGTTGACTATGCTACTTGTCTTTGTGCTCCGCTTTTCCTCAGTAGCATGTTGGACACCTTCCGACATGAGGGGCTCATCTTCCAGCGTCATATCTTTTAGCCTTTTGTTTCTGTCCGTGGAGTTTTCTTGGCAAAGATACTGGAGTGGCGTGCCAGGTCCTGCTCCAGGTGGATTGCATTTAGTCAGAACTCTCCACTATGATCTGTCCATCTTGGGTGTCCCTGCACGGCATAGCCCATAGCTTCTCTGAATTACTGAATTTCCTTCGCCACGACAAGGCAGCAATCCGTGAAGGGGTGGAAGTATGGTACAAATGTATAAAAGTACACAAAAATAGTATTGTTTTGTTTTGTTCCTTTTTAAAACCCGGTTTTTTTTTAAAAGACAAATGGTTATTTTAGGTAAAAGCAGGATTGTCAGTTACTTGCATGCTGCTAGATAAGATGCTTCCCCCCCTTCCCCCCCACTTCTAGTAATGACGCCCCCTGGTAATTTTCTTGGGTTTTCAAGAGTGTTTTAATGACATTAAATCTGATGAAACTGATCTAAGATGGAGATGCTATTGCCTTCCTCCCCTTTTTATCTTTCCATATTCAGCTGCCTGAGCTTTCAAGAACATATTGTTTGTGCTCTGTATTTCTTTGAATCACAAGAAGTTGGAGAGTTACTGGGTTTCACTTTAGATTAGAGAGGGAGAAAAGAAGAAAAAGGTTCTATCGTGACCACAATTAGAAGTTGAGATTTAGTCCAGTGTTAACAGAAAGAAGCTGAGAAGGGGGGCAACATCAGTCCCCCTGCTCCAGCATTGATTTCAGTTTTCACCATCTCAGAATTCTTGATTCTTCAGCCCCAATCCTATTTAAAGCCCTTTCTGTGTGTTTTTAGTTGAAAGCAGTGAGATTCTATTAATACTATTTATTTTAGTTTGATATTGAGACCTGTTTCACAATATTTTTCATTCATCTCCATTTTGCTTTTCATTACTAAAGATATATATACTACAATAAATTGTCTCAATCCCACCCTGCACCCTGGCTGGTAGTAGCAGTCTCCTCTCTTGATGGCCCATTTAAGAACTGGATGTGGCTGTCAGAACACAATCTTTCTCATTTTCTCTTGAGGATTGTTCCTTGTCAATTAGCCAAGGGGACTCCAGCTTTTTTTATTTGCCAAATTGTAATTTTTTTCACCTAATGACACATTGACCATCAAACTCCATGATAAAAACAACAGCCAAACTCAAATTGTAATTGCTGAACTGAAAATCCAGTAGCATTTTCCAAATCATGTTATCAACAGAGTGAGCCCTGTTTAGCCACCTAGCTGCAAGTCTTCCTAGGCACATGGATTTTCATACCCACTTCTACAGTTTCTAGCATTTATGGCCAGGGTGGATTTGATTTAAATCAAATTGTTTTAAATCACAGTTTAGTTTTTTTAAAATTGCATTTTTCAACAATTTAAATATTAAAAATCAATTGTGATTTAAACCAAATTGATTTTTTAAAATCAGTGATTTTTATCTGCCTTATTAATGACACTAGTTGTGCTTCTATGTAATTCAGATTTGAAAGCATAAGCACCTGCACAGCACCATCTGTTTGGCTGACATGTCCCAGCCTTATTTTTCTTCTTTGGAGAGGAAATCTAAGCTAGGGAAATTGTTTTAGGCACATCCAGTCATTCTGTTCCTCTTTTTTTGATAAGAACTGATGCATATGCAACACAAATCTTAATGGAGCTAAAGTGGCAGTAAAGTTATCCTAAGATTATGTCAAGGATTTTTTATGGTTATTGTCACTTTCTGGTTCACACTTTAAATGTTTTTTTGGAATGTAGTGGCCTGTAATGTTAGCCTTATATTTTAGAGCGTTCACAACATTTATTTGTATGCCTTAAACCTGTTTGAGTTTCTTGTAGTTCAAAAAGGTAATTTTCCCACTCTTTGCTGACCAGCGGGGTTGGCTTGTGGGATAGAGTCACAGAATGTGTTAGGAGGATGGAATCGGCAATATTGGTCTTTTTCCAAATGTGTGGTTTCTGGGTGATGTGCAGCAGCCCAAGGGTGTCTTTAGTTTAAAAAGCAGAATTTGGACTAAATGTGTTCCTCACAGGTTAGAGAATGTTTTTCTTTGTGGTCTCCATGTATGCACACAAAGGGGTTTGCACCTGCACAAACAACTCATTGGAAAGTTCCAGAGCTCAAAATGAAAGTGCCTCTCTGCCTATACTGCACAAGTGTGGCCTTGCTCTCCTCAGTCCTTTTTTGTCCTACTGCCACAACAGCACGCGAAAGACTTCTCCAGAACCCCTGCTTCACTTACTGTTGTTTTTCCCTGATAAGTCCTCTGCATTCCCCCCCCCACTTTTTCTTCCTGCCTTCCCTCCTCCTTTTATTGTACACAAGGAGGAGAAGGATGCTAACAAATTGGAACAAGTTCAGAGGAGGGGGACAAGGATGATCAGGGGGCTGGAAACCAAGCATTATGAGGAAAGGCTGAAAGAATTGGGCATGTTTAGCCTTGAGAAAAGAAGACTGAGGGATGATATGATAGCACTTTTCAAATATTTGAAAGGCTGTCATACAGAGGAGGGGCAAGATCTGTTCTCGATCATACCAGAGTGCAGGACACGCAACAATGGGCTCAAGTTAAAAGAAGCCAGATTTCAGTTGAATATCAGGAAAAACTTCCTAACTGTTAGAGCAGTACGACAGTGGAACCAGTTACCTCGGGAATTGGTGAGTGCTCCAACACTGGAGGCATTCGAGAAAAACTTAGATAATCACCTGGCAGATATGCTTTGATTGTATTCCTGCTTTGACCAGGGGGTTGAACTTGATGGCCTTGTAGGCCACTTCCAAGTTCACTTTTCTATGATTTCTATGATTTATTGTCTGAAGAATTTGACCTGGAACAGTCTCTCCACTCCTTGGACATCTACCCAGACAGGACAGAAGACTTTAGACAAACAACCAAACTTTTTTTCTCTTACCAAGGTCCCAAAAAAGGACACCAAGTCTCCTCTCAATGTTTCTCCAAGTGTGTTTTTTTAGGCTACTGCCCTGACATATGAGCTGGTAAACAAACCTCTGCCTTGGGCTTTCCACAGTCACTGCACTGGGGAAGTTTCCTCATCTTCTGCCTTCCTATGTGGCATAGACTACAGTGGGGTCTTGACTTGAGAACTTAATCCGTATTGGAAGGCAGTTCTCAAGTCAAAAAGTTCTCAGGTCAAATCTGCATTTCCCATAGGAATGCATTGAAAACCATTTGATCCGTATCTGCTCTTTTCCGTCTGTGCTTCGGAGAGAGCCGGGAGGAGGGCAAGGCTCGGGTGTTCTGGCGGCCTTCCTCCCGAGCCCTCGCTCGCCCGCTGCCCAAGGATGCCTGGTGTCTCCCGGGCTGGCTAAATGTAGAACTGAGGGTGGACTGAGAGAGCCAGTCCTCTCTTATCTGTGACAATGGCTAGCTGGCTGGTTGGCTAGCTGGCTGGTTGGCAGTGCTTTGCTATGATCGGTTCCCTGCTTGGGGAACTGACCATGGCAAAGCAATGCTTTTTTAACAGCTGATGGGCGGTTCCAAAATGGCCGCTGCTGTTTTCTGGACGTATTCCTCGCTTACCGAGGCGGCGAAAATGGCCGTCCCTATGGAGGATCTTCGCTGAACGGCGAGTTTTTGCCCCATAGGAACGCATTAAACAGGATTTAATGCGTTTCTATGGGTTTTTTGTTCCGTTTAGCGACGATTTCACATAGCGACGTTAATCTTGGAATGGATTAACGTCGCTATGTGGGGCACCATTGTACCATATTTTTCGCACCATAAGACACACTTTCCCCCCACAAAACAGGGGGGGTGGAAAGTCTTTGTGTCTTATGGAGTGAAGAAAACAGATTATATTTTCCTGTTTTCTTCTCCTAAAAAATTGGTGCATCTTATGGAAAGGTGCATCTTATGGAGCGAAAAATACGGTAAGTAATAGTCTTTTCTTTTATCAATACAGTTTTACTATTCCAGTAACAAAATACTTCTTGATGATATGAATAGTAAAAACAAAATTAGCCTGAGCAATGTGATTCACTGTGATACATTTATTAATGCATCTCATGAGATACTGATATATTGGCATAGTGTCCCTTCACTATTTTTTACATAGACATTCAGTACAGTGGTGCCTCGCTTAATGACGTTAATTCATTCCAGCGAAATCGCTGTAGAGCGAAAACGTAAAGCGAAAATAAAAAACCCATTGAAACACATTAAAACTCTGTTAATGTGTTCCAGTGGGCTAAAAACTCACTGTCCAGCGAAGATCCTCCATACGGTGGCCATTTTCAGTGCCTGTATAGTGAGGAATCCATCCCTGAGCATAGTGGGGAGCCATTTTGAGCACCGGGCGGTCATTTTGAAAACCTAACAATCAGCTGTTTTGATGGTCGTAATGCGAAGAATCCATTCCAGAAGCAGGGAACTGACCTTCGCAAAGCGAAAAAAAAACCCCATTTAAAACATCATTTTGCGATCGCAATTGCGATTGCAAAAACATCGTGAAGTGGATTCGTCGTAATGCGGGATAACTGTATTAGGAGCTATTAACCTTTTTTTATCTTGTATACTGCAAAAAATCTTTCATTCAGCATCTCATCCCATGTTAAAATATTTGCAGATATTTTTCCCCCTCAGCAATGAGCTTTTTTCATTTCTTTGCTAAGGTGACAAGATGGCTGAAGAAGCTAGGATCACTAAATTAAGCTTCGAGTTTTGGCTGCACAAGACTCTCAAGTGGGGTCAGAGCACCACTTCAGAATCTCAGCAAGATGTCTGCCTTCACTTGCCTGAATTACAGGAATTTCTACTGCAGATTTATGGAGTTTTGAAACATATGGTAAGTGAATTAGCTGGAAGAATGAACTGTTCTGAGGACTGTTACAGAAATGTTCTGCACCCCACGTTTTGACAAGACAGAAAGCTAACAGTAGCAGAAAGCCTTGTAGTATTGACCTAATGTATTATTGGATCACAAAAACAAGTTGGGGAAACAGCCACAGGTAATGCAAACAGGAATGTGTTTCCTGCGTTTCTGATTTATTGTGAAGGGAGCTTTTTCTTCTTGATTGGTTATGTTCTCACATGAGATTTCCTGCTCAACAGAGTAACCTTTTAAAAAATACTTTATAATAAACAAGTATTTGATTCTGGTTTGCAGGCCATAAATTGGATTATTTAAAGACTCTAAACATACAGAATTATAAGTGATCCCTTAAATCATAAACAGTCTGCTGACATATTAATCCCACATTTTGGCATACAAAGAAATTTCAGGCCACTACCATTGGATTACAAGCAAATATTTCTTGTCATGTCTATGCGGTGTCCTAGAATATGTAATTGTTTTAAATGACAGATTGTAGTTTGTTGCAGTGTTTTCCTATATTTGTGTGCACTAAAATGGAATTTTCTTTTCTAGTTTTAAAATAGCAATTGTCACATGTCATATGAAGTGCTGAAAAATCATTTACAGGTCAGAGATTGCTTATATATGAGACTGGAAAATATTTCCTAGGAAATTTTTAATTATGACAAGTTGTTGGTGAAACCTGGCCTCATAGGGTTCTTCTGGTTTTGGCCCCAGTAGTTTTAAGACTAGCTACAAGTGTGTGTCAGATCTCACTAATAATAATAATGTAGTATGTGATGTTTACCTTTACTGTTTCTCACATATTTAATACTGTTAAGAAAGTGTTCCTTTATTAGAGAGTACTGCTACAAAAATTAGGGGGGGAAGGAAATGACTGCATTATAATGTTTACAAATTGTCCCGTGTATTTTATAGCAAACCTGTTTTCCATTTGGTCCAACTTTGTTTAGATTTTGTAGCAGTAGTGTCTGTTAAATTTCAGGTTGTAAGTAACTTAAGTATGATGTCACATAGAATATAGCAAACAGTAACAGGCACCACAGGACTTCTCTGTTCATGTAATCCGTAGCATGATGTAAGAGGCATGACACTTTGTATGATGTGAGTGTTGTTTCAGTTTGTTTGACACATCCCATTCCATCCCAGACACAAAGGAAAACTCTCTCCCTAGATGTCGAGCTGGATAAATGCATTGGCAAAGCAGCTACCATGTTCTCTAGACTCACAAAGAGAATATGGCTCAATAAGAAGCTGATAACATATACCAATTTCCAGGTCTATAGAGCCTGTGTCCTGAGCACACTCCTGTATTGCAGTGAGTCCTGGACCCTTTGTGCACGGCAGGAGAGGAAGTTGAACACCTTCCATATGCGTTGCCTCCGACGGATCTTTGGTATCACCTGGCAGGACAAAGTTCCAAATAGAGTAGTCCTAGAATGAGCTAGAATTTCTAGCATGTATACATTACCGAAACAGGGACGTTTACATTGACTTGGGCATGTTGTGAGAATGGCTGATGGTCAGATTCCAAAAGATCTCCTGTAAGGAGAATTATTGCAGGGAAATCACCCCAGAGGGAGACCACAACTGCGATACAATTTATTTATATATTCATATACAGTGGTGCCTCGCATAGCGAGGTTAATCCGTTCCGGATTAACCTTCGCTATGCGAAAACATCGCTAAACGGGACTAAAAAAGCCATAGAAACGCATTGAACTTTGTTCAATGCGTTCCTATGGCTTGAAAACTCACCGTTAAGCGATGTTTCTTCCATAGCGCCGCCATTTTCGCGCCCTCGGTAAGCGAGGGCAGGGCGCGAAAATGCGGCGCGGACCTTCCGGCGGCCATTTTGGAACCGCCGATCAGCTGTTCTCCCCCGCTTTGTTTTGCGAGGATCGCTAAGCGAATCGCTTAGCGATCATCGCAAAGCGAAAAATCGCCATAGGGGCCATCGCTGAGCGAATGCTCCAGCGATGGCCCGGACCCCCTCGCTATGCGAATTCATCGCATAGCGAAGCACTCGCTAAGCGAGGCACCACTGTATTTACTTGATTTGTATCCCACCAATTTGGTCTATACGACCATTCTAGGTGGCTAACTGCAAGCGGGATCTGAAGGCCTTAGGAATGGACCTCAACAGATGGGCAACACTGACATCTGAGCGTTCAGCCTGGAGGCAGGTGTTGCATCTCGGCGTCTCCCAATTTGAAGAGACCCTTGTCCAGTAGACTGAGGCAAAGAGGCAGCCACGAAAGCAGCAAATTCAGGGAGCTGGACAGGGGACAGATTGGAATTGTCTTCAGTGTGGAAGGGATTGTCATTCTCAAATTGGCCTTCTCAGCCACACTAGATGCTGTTTCAAGTCCTCCATGCAGAGCACGTTACCATAGTCTCCTGAGACTGAAGGATGCCTATGCTAAATATGTGCATGTAGTCTTTCCTTACTTGCATGCTGAGCAAGAATAATGGGAAAGTCATTGTTGCCATAGGGCTTATTTAGTCATTGCTATAGTCATTATGGTCATAATCTTCATTGCCACCATTATGTTCATATCCCCTCCTTCCTATTTATGGTGACATAAATATCCTCCATCCATTTTTATTCTAACAACAGTACTGTGAAGTAGGTCAGTCTGAAAGATAATCATTGGCCCCAGATCAGTTGCCAGCTTCATAATAACCTGCATCTCCCTGGTTCTGGTGCACTACACTGCACTAGTTCTAGCATGTTAGAATTAGTTGGAGCAACAGGAAGTATATCTAGTGGCTGAAATCCTGTTGCTTATCATAAGCCAAATTGTAACTGTTGGCCAGTTCCTTCCTTGTAAAACAGCCCCATCCCCGCTGTGATTCTTGGGTGTGTGCATATATGCTGGTATGATACATGCACCACGACCCTCACCTGCAAATGAGACACTTGGTTTACTAGGAAGGAATGACCCAAAATTTATGAATTAGTTTTATGCTAACTAACAGGATTTCAGCCTTATAATAATCATTATCTAAATAATCATTATAGGGATGTGGTGGCGCTGCGGGCTAAACTGCAGAAGCCTGTGCTGCAGGGTCAGAAGACCAGCAGTCGTAAGATCGAATCCACGCGACGGAATGGGCGACCATCACTTGTCCCAGCTCCCGCCAACCTAGCGGTTCGAAAGCATGCAAATGCAAGTAGATTAATAGGGACTACCTCGGTGGGAAGGTAACAGCATTCCGTGTCTAAGTTGCACTGGCCATGTGACCATGGAAGATTGTCTTCGGACAAAACCCTGGCTCTATGGCTTGGAAATGGGGATGAGCACCGCCCCCTAGAGTCGAACACGACTGGATGAAAATTGTCAAGGGGAACCTTTACCTTTGCTAAATAATCATTATCTAATGCCCTCCCTTTGCTGTCTCTATTTGCTCTACATTTCCTGATTGTATACATTTCCTGATTGTGATTACTATCTGATCAACAGGTTTATTTTTTTGGTTGTTTGGTTTGGTATACACAGATGTGGTAGAGACCACAGTGTGCAAAACTTGCTTGTCTTATCTCCTAGGTTCCACCAGGCAGGATGCCCATGCAGTGCTGGCTGTGGGTTTCTGGGAGTTATAGTCCAAATAAGTAACTTTATGACTATGTTAATTCCTCATTTGTTTTCCTATTGCAAAGTTGGAATTTAGCCTGAAGTTTATATCTGTTGCCCTTACAGTTTCTTTCTTACGTTGATGCATAATTAGTCATTTTTGTTTCTGCTGCCATCTGCATAGTGGATGAGACTTAATAGTTTGAAGCAAGTTATTATTGTGAACTTTCTTTGAAGATGCTATGTCTTGTATATAATTTTCTCTAAACCCCTCTTGTTCCAGACATCAGTTTTTTTTGACACACAATCTTTTTGATATTTGCATTTTTTTTAAATTCAGAGCTGCAGTACTGCTATCCAAGAGTTTCCATTAATTGGTCAGCTTTTGGGAAGGCTTTGTTGGAATCCCTTTGTTGTTGGCTATGGTAGGTATTTAAATTAGCCTGGTGAAAAAAATCATACTTGTTTTTTGGGATTTCTTTGTTTCTGGGAAAAGTTACCAAACTACTTGAAAATACATAATAGATTTAATGATTTTTAAGTGTGTAATATAGTTTCTCTATAAAGTACAACTCTGCTCCCTCATTGTAACATAGAGATAACCCTGACTTCTAGCACAGTGAAAACTCTGGCGGGTTCTACCAAATTAGTAAGTTTTTGAGTTTGACTTTGCTAGTGTGTCACCAAATCTGAGGATCAGCCCAGCTATGTTTATTACAAGTATGCTGGCTACTAGTTGGTGAATCAGCCACAGCTGATACATGCACATACAGTTTAGAAAAGTTGTGATTTGTGTCATTGGAGGAAGTACCCATATCAATGAAATCACAGATCTTCAATATAAGGTAATTTATTCACTTAAATCAAATGTACTTCAATCTTATTGAAATGACTGAGATTGAGGGCAGTTCTGACCAAAAATCTTATCTGGAGCATAATTGAAATCTTTAAAATGCCCTCCAGTTTATGAATGTGCAATATTGTGGGAATGGGGTAGTGAGCACAAGAGGTATCCAAATGCAAATAAGACAGCTGATGTATTTCAGATGTAACATATATCTGCAGTCTAAAATGGAATCTTGCAAAAGAATTCTGTGTCTAGGTGAATGCAAAAATACTGTACCTGAACGCATGGCACGTACCCACTTTACCTCCTTCTGAAATATTATTTGGAGAAGAGCACCGTGCCATTGAATAGTTAAGGAAATAACCACTTAACAAAAATAACTGATGTAGTTCAATATAGAGTTTCAGTGGTTCAGAAGTATGTTATCGAGAAAGGTCAAATATTGTGCTGTAAAAGGTGGCATGCATTGTTTGATTTTAATATATGAATCTGTTGTTGCTAAAGCACTCTCTGGGCAGTTTACAACATAATTATGTGAGGAACACTTTGCCCCCCAGTGAGTTTGGTACTCATTTTACTGGCCTGGGAAGGACGGAAGGCTCATTCAACCTTGACCCAGCTTCCAGGACCTGTCGGGATCAAACTCAGTTCATGAGCAGAGGGTTGACTGTAATACTGCTGTTTAACCACAGCACCACAGTGTTTTGTGTGTTCATAATTGATGCTTTATGTACATTTATTAATAAATCGAATAAGATAAGAAAATTTACTAGGCACATGATAGTTCTGTTGAAATTCATAATTCATTTTAGTCATAACGGCTAGTCCATTATTATAGAAAGCCTCTATTAAACTACTTTGGACTGTACACCACAGTAATCACAGGCACAAAGTGTTGCCTACATTTGATCAGTGTAGTGACTTGAAATCATGTAATACTAAAAATAAAGAATGGTCCTTTTTCGTTTTTTAACACAAGCAAAAAATTGCTCTTGCTCTACTTTGATTTTTTTAAAGAATGCTCTTATTTGGATTACTATCTGCAGATGAATGCCAGAAGATTCTAATGTGGTGCTTATGTTGTCTGTACAGTGGTGAACCACAGAACCCTGTGGAATTGAAGGCCAACAGCTGGATACAAGTAAGCAAATGAATCCTCTCCCAACTGCTTCAAATTACTTGATTATTTAAAGATGCAGCATCTACAGCATAGAGACAGTGTGTCATTTTTAGAAACCACTCTAGAGACTTCCTAGATTCACATTTATTGAAATATGTTCTACTTTAATTAAAGCACAATCTCTGCTGTCTCATTTTAAGCATTAAAATATAGAGTTTAAACTGAAATAATTTTAATAGTTTTTGATAAATGGAACATAAATTCCAATAACTTCAAGTGAAGAACAAAGTCTGCAAATCAGCAAGCAAGGGAATGCTATAAAAGCAAACTTTCAATTAGGAAAAAATAATATAATCTGGACAGATGCCAGTGTTTGTTTTGAGAACAATTCCTGTATACTCTTTAATTTTTTTCTCTTTTTGTTTAATCTTGCTAGCCTTGGGAAAAACTAATTGCATCCAAGTTTTATGTAGACAGTGAAAGAAAATATTTGTTTGCAGCTTAAATTTTTTGTTGTGCTCCAAGTTGAATGAACCCATAATTGCTTGAAAGTTACAGACAGAAATCTTTGATGTAGGCCTTTACAGTTGTCCTCACTATTCATATATAGGTATTTACTTCTAAATAATTTAGCTCATGCATAGACTAATTTTCTCTGCAGGTGATAAATACATATTTCATAATTATCTTGCAAAACAGTCTTGTATAGCCAAGAATATATATGCTAGAGAAAATGTTGCCATATCTGATTGCCCAGAATATTGTTTTGTATGTGACCAATCAGATCTTGGCCAAGGTGAGAGTTTAGTGTACCTCCATGCACCTCTCCTCCCTTTGCATGAGATTCATCTTAGCTAGAGAATGGCCAGGAAGAAACCTGAAGCTCAGTTCTTGAATTAAGTAGTAAAGAGCAACAGTGGGGAACTTGCAGAAAAGTTGTTGGGGGCAGCATTTCAATAATGGATAGAGCAAAGAAGCGGGATCAGAAATCTCAACATATTTTGTCAAGGATAATTTCCATACTGAGGCAGAACAAGGCTTATGATAATCAGCAGCCATATTTGACAGGTGTGCAAAAGTCTGAATTATGCTGTCTGGGATGATGCAATGTCCACACTGATTGGCTGTATGTAACTGTGTGGACATGTGGAGAAGATGTATGGATATCTTCTAATGAATGTCAAGCTGCTGAACTTCTGTATATATTGTAAATACACTTGGTGTTGGAAGAAGCTGTCTTTGTCTGTGTGAATCAATTGGCCTGCCTGGACTGGGACAAAAACTCTGCTAACTTGCACCAACATATTTTAGCTTCTTATTAACAGTAACTAAACCTTAGGATATAATTTGACCATCATTAACATGTGCTGGTACAGGTAGCTGTGTTCTGGGGCTCATTCTTAAAAGACAGCTGCAGGTCAATAATCCTGTTTCGAAACGGTGTTCACGGAATGAGATGAGTGGGTTAAATCTGAAGATCTTCTAAAATGGAAAGGGCACTTCTGCTAATGTAAGATGTTTCCCCTTCAGTGACCACCAACTGGTTTCTGGTAATTCCTGCTTTCTTTTGTAGCCTGTATATGCTCTATCCTGAATGTCTTAAAGGGTCACTTAACAAGTAGATTTTAAGGAAGGCCTACTGTCTTTGCTGCCTTGTCGTGGCGAAAGGGCTTGAGTAACTCAGAGAAGCTATGGGCTATGCCGTGCAGGGCCACCCAAGACGGACAGATCATAGTGGAGAGTTCTGACTAAACACAATCCATCTGGATTAGGAATTGGCAAGCCACTCCAGTATCTTTGCCAAGAATACCCCATGGACAGAAACAAAAGGCTAAAATATATGACTCTGGAAGATGGGACCCTCAGGTTGGAAGGCGTCCAACAGGTTACTGAAGAGCAGAGGACAAGTACAAGTAGCTGCAGAGCTAATGAAGTGGTTGGGTCAAAGCCGAAAGGATGCTCAGCTGTGGATGTGCCTCGAATTGAAAGGAAAGTTCGGTGCTGCAAAGAAGAATACTGTGTAGGAACCTGGAGTGTAAGATCTATGAATCTTGGTAAGCTGGGTGTGGTCAAACAGGAGAGGGCAAGAATAAGCATTGACATCCTGGGTGTCAGTGAACTAAAATGGACAGGAATGGGCGAATTTAATTCAGACAATTATATCTACTACTGTGGGCAAGATTCCCGTGGAAGAAATGGAGTAGCCCTCATAGTCAGCCAAAGAGTGGGAAAAGCTGTAATGGGATATAATCTCAAAAATGATAGAATGATTTCAATACGAATCCAAGGCAGACCTTTCAACATCGCAGTAATCCACGTTTATGCACCAACCACCATTGCTAAGGAGACTAAAATTGACCAATTCTATGAAGACTTACAACACCTTCTAGAACTGACACTTTGCAGTCCAGGGGACTCTCAAGAGTCTCCTCCAGCACCACAATTCAAAAGCATCAATTCTTTGGCGGTCAGCCTTCTTTATGGTCCAAATCTCACTTCCATACATCACTACTGGAAAAACCATAGCTTTGACTATGTGGACCTTTGTCAGCAAGATGATGTCTCTGCTTTTTAAGATGCTGTCAAGGTTTGTCATCGCTTTCCTCCCAAAAAGCAGTCGTCTTTTAATTTCGTGGCTGCTGTCACCATCTGCAGTTATCATGGATCCCAAGAAAGTAAAATCTGTCACTGCCTCCATATCTTCGCCTTCCACAGTATTTGCCAGGAGGTGATGGGACCAGTTTTGAAGTTCTCCTTCAAAAAGAAAAGAAAAAACTTGAATAGTGACTACATGACTTCAGGTATTTTAAAAAGAAATGCTGTTTTTCTTGGTGTTGTGTGTAGCTTCACAAGTGTTCAGAACTGTGTTTTCTGTTTTGTTTTGACAAAGAATAATATTCAAAGTATCTAGACCCATAGTAGTTTGTGCACAAAAATTACCCAGGAATGTTAAGTTATTTTCAGCTTGGACAATGCAGAGGTACTTGCTACAGCATATGAGAACAATTAAAATAAGATTACAAATATAATAATTACAATGTGGAGCAGACTGCACTGGCAGATATTGGAATGTAGACATCACTTTAATCATAGCACTTTCCATCATGTGGGTGGTCATATTGTGGAGAGAATTGTTAACCTTTCTCCCTGATACATTGATTTTAACAGTAGAGAAATAAACAGTATTCTACAGTCCTCTCAATATTCTTTGCTTATATAAGCTTTTTCTGGTAGGCTGTTTGCTTTATTTGGGGTCCTTATTTTCACCAGTAGTAATTTAGGGCATGACTATAAGAAAATCTGACCTTCCCTGAACTAATTCTTATGCTATCCCTTCAGGGTCTCCCCTTCAAATTAATGTGTTAACTCTTTCCCACTATCTGATGCATAGTTACCAAAATTGTAATATGTAATTTCTTTTGCAAGAGGAAACAAACACTGACAGTCCACATTTTGTCTTGATTTTAGATAACATTTCACTTTCAGTAAGAAAAGAAAATTGTCTTCTTTCTGCAGTGAATCGAAGATGTACTGCTGCCATTGATTATTTGTTTTCTTTATTTGTATTTCAAATAATTATTGCATTGCCCTAAGTCGGCAGAGAAGATAGACTCTTTTCCCAATGTTGATCTGTATGTTCCTATGTTTCAAAAAGCAGGAGAGTTTCTCAGAGAAAAGAAACCTTTGCTTTAAAACAAACAAGCAAATGTAGTTGAAGCAAGTGGGGTGTTGTGTATACCATCTAGTCCAATTTATGTATAAATATTTACTGTACAAATTTAGACCAATTCACCCTGATATGATTTTTTTAAATTTATTTTTCAAATTTCCAAAACAAATACAAAAATACAAAATACTTACTAATTCAATCTAAAACACAGTACACCCCCATACCTACAGGACCCTTTGGAGCAATACCTTTATTACAACCCTCCTTTCCAAAATTGTATTGATTGTTGCTTAGAGGCTTTCCCCTTTCCTTTCACTAATACAAATTCAATAAATCTACCCCAAATAGCATAAAAAATATCTAAACTTATTTCCCCTCTTTTCATCTTAAGTTCAGTAGTCAATTTGTCATTTAATGCAATGTCCCATACTTCATTATACCCATCTTCTAATTTAATATCATTTTTATCTTTCCAGTATCTAGCTACAGTGGAACCTCTGCTTAGGAACTTAATCTGTTCCAGAATGGCGGCCGTAAGTTGAAACGTTCATAAGTAGAAGCACCATTTCCCATAGGAATGCATTGGGAACTGATTAATCCGTTCCGGCCGAAGAAAAAAATACCCCACCAAAAAACAAAAACAAAACACTGCAAGCCCCTGGGGCTGCAAAAACCAAAACAAATCCCAAAATAAACATAAACAAAACCCCACCAGCCCAATCCCACCCTGCAAAAGGCAAAAAAAGGTTAAAAAAGCAAAAAGCAGCACCCTACCTCCACTGCCACTGCCAGAAAGCCTCCCGGACTCCAGCCACCCCTGCCAGGCCAGAGCTCCGCCACTGGGCCAGGGCTTCTCTGCCGGCTTCGGAAGCTTTCCTGGGGTTCGCCGCAAGCGCCGCCTTTTTCCCCTGCTACGCGGCTTCTCTGCCACCATGGGAGGCTTTCCTGGGGCTTGCCCCAATCGCCACCTTTCTCCGCCGCTGTGACGTTCACACCTCATGCCCCTTGCTTGACCGTCAAGACTCAGAGCACACGAAGGCAAGCAATCCCCTTTTAAATACTGCTGCCACCAGGTGATCACTAAATCACCATTACTTCAGCAAGATGCAGATTCAGGTCCACACTTCAAAGTTGTTTTAATATAACATTTGGTTGTTGTGGGTTTTTCGGGCTTCTTGGCCGTGTTCTGAAAGTGGTTCTTCCTAACGTTTTGCCAGTCTCTGTGGCCGGCATCTTCAGAGGACAGCAAACTGTGCTCCCCACAACAACCATTAGATCCCGGCCGTGAAAGCCTTTGCGAATACAATACAACATTTGTTTATTGATTACAGAAATTGATAGTGATTTCATG